AGCCTGCAGCATGTGCAAGCAAAAGGATGTGTGCAAACATGTTATGTAATTTCCCCAACCTTAGCAACTGTAGCTCATGATGTAGTCTATTTTGTTTATTTTGCAATTATGCAATTATCTGAGTGTAAAAGTGCTGTTGTTTAGCCACAGGAATGATGCAGACAGTTGGGGTAATAAGAAGAGGTGTTCCCCTGACGCCTGCTTCCACACACCCACCAAACTGAAACATTTTCAAAAACTGTTCAATGTGAGGCAGGATTGTGTTGATGCACAGAATAGTGTGAAAGAAAAGGGGATGAAGCTCAGGCTAAAAGGAGAAGGGGAGGAGATAGAGAGAGGCAGAGGAGAGGAGTGTGTTAAAAGAGAGAAACTAAAGGCAAGGGGGGCAGACAGACAAAAATGAGAGAGGGGAGGAAGGAATGAGGAGGAGGAGAGGGAGGCGGTGCTAAGGCAGGCAGCAGGGAAGGAAAGCTGAGAAGAGGAACAGTGAAGTGAAGTGAGGAGAGAGGAGGTGGTCAAGAAAATAAGGGGGCTCCATTCGAAAGTCCTCGTGTTGGGATATGAAGTCCTGGATCAGTGCAGAGGCAAAGCCAGGAAGCTGGAGCACTGGAGAAAGGAGGTAGAAGAAGGCGGGACGGGGAGAATCTGAAACGACACAGACTGGAGTGATTCTTTTTTATCTTTTTTTTTTCCAAGAGAGGCAGAGACAAGTGGAGGCAGCGATGCAGGGCTCTCACTGGGGTGAGTGTGCAGTGAGAAATGGTGTGTTTATGTGTCTGCATATATGAAATGTGAGTACATGTGTATATCTAAAATTCTTCTAACTCAGACTCTCTTAATCCTGATTTTTATTTACGTTTGGCTTGGTTTACATGAATACAAATGTGCTTGATTAAACTTGTATTCATGACCACCTTGAGTCAATGTGAAACCACTTAAGAGAGTGTCGATATGGGAAATGTCTCTAAAGGAAGGTGTGTAAAGAGTTTCAGACAAAGGTTGCTTGGCAGGCCTGGTCAAACAGAAACACTGATTTTAGCAGGATTGGAAACTAACTCAGAAATTCCAGTGAAGACCAAAAAGTCAGTAATGACTTCTAAAGTCTGGATAGAATGAGATCTGAATGGTGAAATAATGACAAAGAATTCATGGAAAATCTAGTGTATACTCATTTTGCTAGAGACTGAAGGCAGCTCAGTGATTCAGCGTCAGCTGAATAGCAGTGTGAAAGAAAAGGGGATGAAGCTCAGGCTAAAAGGAGAAGGGGAGGAGATAGAGAGAGGCAGAGGAGAGGAGTGTGTTAAAAGAGAGAAACTAAAGGCAAGGGGGGCAGACAGACAAAAATGAGAGAGGGGAGGAAGGAATGAGGAGGAGGAGAGGGAGGCGGTGCTAAGGCAGGCAGCAGGGAAGGAAAGCTGAGAAGAGGAACAGTGAAGTGAAGTGAGGAGAGAGGAGGTGGTCAAGAAAATAAGGGGGCTCCATTCGAAAGTCCTCGTGTTGGGATATGAAGTCCTGGATCAGTGCAGAGGCAAAGCCAGGAAGCTGGAGCACTGGAGAAAGGAGGTAGAAGAAGGCGGGACGGGGAGAATCTGAAACGACACAGACTGGAGTGATTCTTTTTTATCTCTTTTTTTTCCAAGAGAGGCAGAGACAAGTGGAGGCAGCGATGCAGGGCTCTCACTGGGGTGAGTGTGCAGTGAGAAATGGTGTGTTTATGTGTCTGCATATATGAAATGTGAGTACATGTGTATATCTAAAATTCTTCTAACTCAGACTCTCTTAATCCTGATTTTTATTTACGTTTGGCTTGGTTTACATGAATACAAATGTGCTTGATTAAACTTGTATTCA